GTGGTGTCAAAGTGGGACTGCTGTGAAATTAGATACCCGAAATTGTTTAACAAAAACTTTTGAGTATGATGTAAGTATGTGCACATTGTGAAGTGTGTACTGCGTATTGCACCTACAGGGGTCTGCGATCTTATCCATAATTTCTGTATTGCATGGATGTCAATTCAACATGCCATACAGCTGACATTTCTCATGACCTTATTTATAGACCGACGACCGTGACGAATAAGTGAGCTTCAAAACGCTAGTTATTAACGGCAGGACATTCCTATGTTGGTTGTTGCTGACTGCACAGTGGTCATTGGTACATAAAGAACCAATGTCGCATGTTTGTGAATTGTGACCTGGATACAGGTTAGAAACATAGTTCATATTTCCCTATAACGGATTGCGGAATTCGTTCCCCAATCTTTATATTCCTTTTCCTTCTCCACAGCATTTTTTTTTTCTTTTTAGACTACGTCAGCTAACCAGAATATCCGTCTCCGGATTTGTCTTCAATTTTGTTTTTCTTTGTCGGCGGTCAAAGCTCGGTCGTCTTATCCATTACCATAGGACGGAGCCTCCTTTCAGGGAGAAATCTGCCCGTCTTTTTTGGGACAGCCTGACGGATTGGTGGGAGGGAGGCGCCTTTGAAATTCTGACCCGGCTCCGTCAGCGTCCGTCGGCTGTCGACGCCGCCGCTTTATGATGAATTTGCCCTATCTCATATGCACGGATAATAGATCCGGCGGATTCGCTGCGAATTCCACAAAAAGAAATACATGGAGAAATAAAATATAATGGTGAAGATGGATAGAAAAACGTGTTAACCCGCGACCTGGTGGGGGGGGGGGCTATTTTTTGCCCCCCCCCCTCCAGACTTTTCGATATATCTCCAGAACCGCTGCGGCGATCGTCACCAAACTTTCAGTACCTTCCCGGACATCAATTTTACACATGGTGACCAAAAATTTTTCCAAAGGCTTTGATAGGTTGGCCGGAAATGACGTCAGAGTGACGTCATGTTCTGCCGTTTTCGACCCAAAAAAGGGTTTCGCGGGAAGAGCTGTCAGGCCTATAGCTTTGCAAATACAGAAAAATGATAAGGACATAAAAGCTGTAGAATTGACAGGGCTACAAAACTGCTATCTCGGATTTTTGAAATTTTTGGATTTTGACCCCTAAAAATCAAAAAATAATTTTTTTGGATATAATGATCGAAAAATCCAAAAAGTTTTTTGAATTTCGCAAAAACCGGAATATATGTGATAGTCCTTACCGCCTTCCACCCACATACCAAATTTGAGATTGATACCTCTTTTTTTGGCGAAGTTATAGCGAAAAAAAAATTTCAAAATTGATGACGTCAAATTTTCAAACTCAATTTTTAGCAATTCTAGACCCCGTAGCGCAAAACAAAGACCACCATTAGACTCCCCGTGACGAGCTGCATCGAATAAATACCCATTTTATGCAAAACTATCAACTTTAAAATTTGACCTTTTTAGGCCTGACCTTGACCTGACCTTGACCTGAACTTCACCAGAAAGTGACCTAAGCCGTACCTGATAGTCTTATAACCAGCACCATTGAGTTGGAAATGAAAAATTGGCCATAAAACATGCATCACACAACCTTAGCAAAGTTGGGCTCATGTGACCTGACCTGTGACCCTTGGTGACCTGACCTGTGACGTGACCTGGTATTGTCAGTGACCTCTAATAGCAACATATCTACTAGGCAACTGACGCCCTATCGCTGATTCTCGACAAAATGCGTTTTCCTCGGTGTTATAGCGCATTCCCTAGAAGACCCGTGAACGGTAAAACATTTCACCTTTGACCTGACCTGTGACGTCATCGGTGACCCCGAGGTCAATGAAATTTGGTTTCCGTCGACAAATTTGACAGGCCTTTCGAACGCCGTTTGAATTTTGCGGATCCGTCTAGTAGTTTCGGAGATACGAGGGGGGGCAAAAAATAGCCCCCCCCCCCACCAGGTCGCGTTATAAACAGACCCCACCAGGGCGCGGGTTAAGGGTTACCTACTAAGCAGAACCTCTAAATGCAATGTCGAAACGCATACTGCATACATATACAAAACAGACCAGGGTGAAGGGATTCGGTGATAGTTGTTCATACTGTTATGAGCCAAGTATCATGACCACTCTAACAAATTGAGTTGATAACTGAGACTAAAAGCTTATTGTCCAATATAATAATGACAAATGACGGTAAATGAGCGCAAAAATTGACCGATTTTATCCGCGTACGAACGTGGACGGATACCCACACCCCTTCAACACTGAGTTGTTTTCAGTAATAGCAGAAAACCATCAAGTGTAGCACCCCGAAATTTGGTAAAACTAGTCCCCCATCAATTTTAGACATTGAATGCAAGTGATGGTCTCCTCTTCTACCTTGCAATGCTAGGTCACCGGGTCACTTGAAATGACTCGACCTCATACCTGTCACTTTTTTGCAACTTACTCATTGTGTCAGAGCCAAAGCAGATGACCGAACCCTCTGTAAAATACAGGATGTACTGGTATAAAGTCCATAAATACCTACAGGTTGTGTGTCTTGATTTTTTATATGGATGTTCTAAGCTCAGGTAAATTTCTTTACTTTCCATTTTCTATTATGAGTCCAAGGGGGAAAATGACATGCATCATTTTTCCCAAATGCACGTTGTATATCCGTCCCGTCGGTGCGAGACTCGCTCGGACCCCCCTCGATGCGCGGGCTTCACTTCAACTTTCATGACGGCCATTCAAATGAAATATAGATGGTCACGAAAGCCATTTGGGCTGCCATGCTAGATATATTGCCGCATCCGGCGCTGACCACCACAGTTAACCCGCGAGTTCCTGGGGGGGGGGGGGCGTTAAACGCCCACACTTTTTTCACCGGGCCATAGCATAAAAACGGCGGGCCGCAGGCGCGCCAAATTTTGGGTACCTGTAGGGAATTGATTGAAGTTTATTGTGACAAAGTTTCAAAAAAATCGGTCGGAAAATTTTTGAGATATCGAGGTTTTAGTGACGTCATGATTTTTGAGTTTTCGACCAAAAACGGCATATGTTCAAAAAATCATATAAAATCACAGAATAGACATACAGACATGCCGTAAACGCCATTAGACTGCCAATACCTTGAACAATCAAATGGCTATCTTCGATTATTGCTTATCGTTCCGAATTTTCCAAAATCTTGAACTGAATCTTGGCAATTTCTCGTGACTACTTCACGACCATGATACATGCATTTCTTAAATTGAACTTTTTTAGCCAAACACGTACACATATGATAAAATGAATGTCACCATCGTGTTCTACGCCCCAAATTACCCATAAAACATGTGTCACAGGCTGCGAATATCAGTTTTGATTTTCGGGGATATGTGCCTACCCGGTTGACCTGACCTTGACCCTGACCTATGCTTGACTGACCCCTACATGGAGCTGAAACTCTTGTAGGCCTTATATGATGGATTGTGCACCGTTTTGACAGAGTTTCTGACGAGAGGCGCCCATTGCGAAGTCCTGAAGTCCATGCTACTGAAAGCCCGATTTCAGGTGTTTGACCTGACCTTGACCCGACCTGTGACCTCAAAATTCAACTTTAAAGTACTCATTTGAAGCGTCTCGTCGCGTTCTTTTGTTTGCCGCCTCGTGCGTTTCGCTGCGCCTATTGGTTCTCGAGTTATCGGCTGGGGGCGTTTAACGCCCCCCCCCCAGCAAACGGTGGGTGGCGAAATACCCCAGCAACTGCCGGGTTAATCACTACAGGTAAAAGCCACTGCTGCATGGTAAGAAAAATCCTAATATGCCTTCAAACTTCTATGTCTTGGCTCAAGCGACATTGTACAAAGTAAGCATATAATTCCAGCTGATCGAACCGGCTGATTCTTTCATAGGCATCTAAATAAATGTTTGTTTCCTTATGCTGTCACTATCAAAGACTGCATTATGCCAAAGTGTAGCGTTTTGCCGACTGGCAACAAGACAAGCTTCACTATTTACCTTCAATTCTATAACGCTTTTGATGTAATCATGAGTCATGACGGATTTGTTGACATTTATGCTCACTCTGGTTGAAAATACGGCTAGATTTCGTCCGTAGTTCTCGTGGACAGCTAGTCAAGAAAAGTTCAGCCGAGTCAGGTCGTTGGCCCCCTCATTTCTCACAAGTGCTTTGGGAGCGCACAGCTCCTTCAATCTACATCTGCAATCTAAGGCGTACGCTCCAATTTCCACAGTGAGTCTGGCTTTGTCCGAACAGCCCGCATTTTAGCTAATGAAAACGATTCTCGCAGTCCCAAGACAGATGACCCCGATTTCGGATGTATTAGCATCTCGGAAACGCACCAAGATTCTCGACAGAAAATACGTTACTGACATATAAAGACTGCTTCTGCCAAGCCTGAAAATACAACCTCGTGCGCAATGATGATTATCCGATTCAAAGCTCTACGTCCAATCCTTACTACAATCTAATAGACATGCATAATGCATGTGTATATATCAACAGTGCAAAATGATGCACGCAGCAGATTGACTGCGCCAATATAATGTGAATCTAGCCTTGATGCTTGTGGACACCACGCACACAATGCACATAAACGAGATGTGTGTACCTACGGTGCGTACATAGTGTATGTACACTGTACAACCCATAAACGCATTAGACATGAATGGCTATCAAACATTGAAATGTCTCAGACTGCTTTTGAAAAGCAGAGTGCATAATTCTGTTTTATTAAGCGCCTTGTGATCTGTCATAGAAACTCGGGCCACGACGTCACTAATTTTCATGCAACTTGCACAAGCCACTCATGTTCTATGCGGAGTGTATTCACGGAAGGTCGGGGAATTGTATAATCGGTGATCTAATTAGAAGAATGTTTTTTAGCTTACATCAGATGCATAAAGTATGAACGATCAACGAATACACAGGAATGGAACAACCTGTTTTTGCATTGATAATAGGGCTCACAATTATTTCTTTTCTTTTCAGGTGTTGACGCACAAAGTTTGATGTTCAGCTGTTTTATGGGTACCTGACTTCCAACGATCAAATCTAAGTAAGACTGGTAAGTACGTGTAACTAATCTTTTGTATTGAAGAGTGCAAAAAGTCAATAGTGCTGCATTGGATGTAATTACTACACCGAAATGTACACAGCTTGTGGCTAACTGGCTAAGTAGTAAGTAAATACCGACCTGCAAACCGAACGCAACACAACTACACTAACATAGCTTATTTGCCGTATTGTTTGTCGTTTTTAGCTGCTATATAGTTTGCACGTAAATGCATGTTCGTCTTGCTATCTTTATTTTATTGTTATTTAATCGGAAGACGTTGCGTGTCTCGGATCACGATTTCTTAGCTAACTATGAAACATGTGGCATTAACCCGCGCCCGGCTGGGGGTCCTGGATTTCCACGCCCTGCTGGGGGGAGGGGGGTTTGAACACCCCCCCCCCTTGTAACTCGGCTCCTGGGCCACGTAGCGATACGCAGAAGGCGGCGTTCGAAAGAGCGTCAAAAATAATGACGAAATCACTTCGGTCAATTTTTAGGTCAGGTCAAAGGTCAGGTCACCAGAGGTCATTGAAGGCAAAATTTCGCCGATTTCCAGGTCGAATGTCGAAAATTTCCAAGAAGTCAACGCATAACTCGGGAACCAATAGAGCTACAGCGCCGCGGAAAAGCGCATTCGATAGCCCTATCAACGCCCTTTCTGAGTAATTCTCTCAGATTTGACCTAACGTCAACGGTTTTGCCTGCAGGGGGCAAAAACTGCAAAAATAGCCGATTTTTTTCGTAAACAGTTTTTCTGCAATAACTTTTGACCCAAGCCTTGTACGAGCTTACTTTTACCGCGGCATCGTGTTCCTCTCGTCAAGACGCATCGAATGAACTATAACTTGACCTTGAAAGGTCAACTTGAAAATTTGACCTCAGGTCAAGTTCATGACCTGACCGGAAAGGGTCATGTTGCATATCAGTCGATCCGTATCGTCGAGCTGAACACATCTAAGGCGTTTTCATCGCTCTAGCATGCCTCTATCAAAAGTTATTTGCGAAAAACTGTTAGATACCATTCGTGACCTAAGATGACCTCAGGGCATAAACAAGGGTCACGGACACCATTTTCATGTTCTGTGTGTCTAAACCTCTTTGTAATTCGGTGTTTGGGAGTGTTTATAATGTCCTTCGTCCAAAAGAGGCGCATTTCAATTTTCTCCCATTGACTTATAATGGGGAGGTCGCAAAACTGACCTGACCTTAGGTCATCGATATCAAAATTCTGAGATATACATTTTGTACATACTATTGCTCTTAGCAATCACTGAAAGTTTCAAAGCGATCGGTCACTCGGTGTAGCTATGACAGACATTGAAACTTTTTATGAGGTGAGGTCACTTCAAGTGACCTGGTGACCTGACCTTGAATAACCTTGGTCTGAAATTTTCACAACATGTGTAGAATTGATGTATGATAAGGTGTACCAAAAACGGCGGCGCTCCGCGCCGCCGTTTTTGAGATATTCGCGAAAAACCACAAGGGGGGGTGTTCAAACACTCCCCAGCAGGGCGCGGGTTAAAGATGTTACCCACATGTGCTCCCCCACAGGCTGGGGGGGGGGGGGCAAGAGAGGAGCTTTATTTCTAATGTTTTAACAGCCGTTTTCACGGCGGGCTATCTGTCGCACTCGCATGCACCTATTTTGATAATTTGAAAATGAGGTATATAAGCATCTGTGCAACCCAAACAAATAACTTCTAAGAAACACACTGAACCTACACACACAGAAATATTGAGCGGAAAAACGGTGTAATTGAAAGTACCAAAAGGAACATTTTTTTGGTGTAAAATTACTCTGTTTTCTAGGTAAAAGAACACTTATATGTGTGTTTTCCTAGCTTCGGAGTGTTTCACTATTGTGTAGGAGAACCGCTTTCAGTGTAACTTTACCGCGAATCTCGCATTACATTTACGCAAAAATATGTGTTTTTGGTAAAAAGTACCAAAAGGAACACTCGCGTGGTAATCGTACACAAATTCATGGCGGTAAATTTACAAAGATATGACGGTTATTATAACGATTTTTTCTGGTAAAGCTAATGTTGGGCCCGCAAAATTTGTAACGCAGGCGATACGCGCGGCGGGACGTTGTCGCCAGCCGCGAGCCTAGCTAAATGGAACGAAACATCGTGATGCTCAATGCCTACCCCATGCTGCAAACAGGCGTTTATTTGTTTGTTTGTCGTTTATTTATAAGAATCGACATCACATCTGACGGAAATAAAAGTTAGATTAGCGCAACAGCACAGCCTTATCATATACATAAGCTGATATTTCACAATGCATGGGGCGCCGCTACAGGCCGCAGCCACCGCCTGTCTCCCGTCAACTGCCCGTAATTAATCAATAAAAATATGTCTTCTGTACGCCACTACTTCACTGTGCCAGAATAATCATTCATCTAATTAGCCATCGGCTCTCTATTGCCTATCTGGCAATATATTAGTACCTATAACTATACCTAATCAACCCAAGAAAAGCATGAAAGTGCATCCATTATTTTCAAATCATAACACGACAGCAGCTCAGTTGAAAAATTACAAGCCCACCTGAGCACTCCGACAAAGCTGGATAATTTCCAGCAGCTCCTCTAATGTCGCTCCGCTTCAGATTTCAGACTCGGTCTTGATTGCAGTTATCAGACGATGACCACAATGCAGTAGTTCACTTATTATCCACTTATTCACTCATTACTCAGCTTATTATCCAACTAGATAAGCACCACAGCACTGTTTTATCTCACTGATCGCACAAGAATGGGCAAACCCACTCTGCGCACTGCAGCCACAACACTCCCCCGCCGGCCCCCGCGGTCCCCGGCGCACAACTGACAGATTGCGAAAATGGCGCCGCCGCCGTCAGCATTTAGCTCAAAATTTCGCTAAATTTACACGGGTCGACGTAAACGAACGGTGCTCTGGATGTGTACCGCAATTACCAGTGTGACACAACACTCATTCGCGTATGGATACACTTGCTTTGCATAGAAACATATCAGTTAGGTATTTGAACATCTGTTAAGCTGTTACATTATCCTGTTTTGCGTAAAGATGCTTGTGTGGTGTAATAAAACTGCCGATGTTTGTTAGTTAACCAATAAACGTCGTATAAAAACAAACTTATTCTTAATGCCTTTACTTATTATGGCGTTGTGCAACGGATACCTTGCTCATTTATCACGAAAATACTTAAATTAAAGATATTTTACTAAGTGAAGCAGAACTTTGAAGCTATTTGAACTATTTACGAGTATATTGAACTTGACATCGCTCAATATTTCTGTGTGTGTAAGTTGACCAAATCTGCACCAACTCTGCACCTAATCTGCATCAAATGTGTACCAGACAGCCCTCGTGAAACATATAGAGCAAAATCTTTCGCCATGATTAATGCCGAAAAGATCAAGTTCAAAAACTTAATTCGGCCTTAACGGGAACAGCTGCGATACAGCCTTATTTCAATTAAATATTTCACCATAATATAGTTACTTGACGTTAACCCTCGCCCGCACATGCCATTTTCCCATCCTAGAACGCACATGGGGGGGGGGGGGTGGTTGCCACCCCCCCCCCCGCGCCATTTCGTTCCTGTTGGAGATAGAGCTTAGCGGTAAAGACCAAAAAGATTCTTTGGGAAGAGACGAATCCAATGATACCCAGTTTTACCTTCTCAGGTCAGTCATTGACCTTCCAGGTCAGGTCAAACTAAAAAATATTGCTGTTTTGGGTCACCGTTGGATATCAAGTGCTCTGCTTATACCGATGACGATGCCGTTTTCTGGTGCCAAGCCAGCTAGAACCTCTTTGTCACACTACCCGGCCAGAATTTTGCTGCTGAGGTCATTTCAGGTCAAGTTAGGTCAAGGTCAATTATATGTGTTTGTATGTCTGTGTGTGTCTGTGTGTATACTGATGTGTGCACCGATTGTTTATGTGTCCATATTACATGAAATCATGATCTGAGAAGCTTTTACCAACAATGCAGTCAAAAAACTTCACAAAAAGTAAATTTCGCTTGCCTAAAACGCAATTATCTTAGATGACCTAGGTTGACCTTGACCTTGACCTTGACATCTGTACATCATCGAAAAACATGTTCCATGATAGGTAGGAGGTAAGACTGGTAAAAAAGGCCGAAATCAAGGCGTCAAAAGCTCACAAGACCCATAGCCAACGCAAGATGTTGAGAATTGGCCATTTGGGTCATGACATGACCTGAAAAACAAGGTCATATCTCCGAAACCAAAAACCACAGAAACTTGAAATTTTCAGTGGACATCAAGAAAGGATAGAGGAGCAGCTATACGAAAAATCAGCCTTCTAGCTCTAAAAATGTTGAGTGCAGAGCAGAAAGACTACCTGGGGGGGTGGCAACCACCCCCCCCCCCCCATGTGCGGGCGAGGGTTAAATTGTACTCGTAGCAATCCCGGAGTATCATGATCTCGATCTGGAAGGTGAGAATTGGCTCATTACACACATATCATTTGAAACGCGAGCTGATATAGAAATCAAAAATCTGTTCATAGTACAATAATCATATGCATGCGTACACTATTATATGTTATATACTATGGCATATGCGTCGTATGATCGCGTCGTAGGCAACGTAATATGTCGTATTAGTATTGCATTACTCTCGTGTTGCTTTAGGCTGTCCATCGTGCGAAACCTTTTCGTGAGCAATGATTGCTTGATTAGTTAAAAAAAAAACTGACGTGATGGTATCCCTTCAGTGACAGTCCCAAAATGCATGCTGTCCCAGCTGGGCCGGGAGAAATTGACGGCGTTAGCTGGCCTCTCCGACCCAGTACACTGGGACAGTAACCCGATCAGCTCCCGAGTAGCTGCCCTGAACCGACACGAGGCTAGCGTCGGATGTCATTGACGATAAACCGACAGAAGAGACAGTCGCGTCGAATGTCGCTGGCGATGAACCGACAGGTCACTCGCGTCTAGTGTCGCTGACGACGTGATCATCGAACGCAGTCGAGCGTCGGGTCGGT